GTCTATACTGGCTCTAGACGACAGTTGGTCGTTGTTGGAGGGAACGGATACACGGTACTTGTGAGAGTGATAGGCTCGAAAAGCTATTCTATGTATCCTGTGTGGAACGAGCTACGGCCCAGCCACCACCTTGCGCAAGTCTAGCACGCAAGCTTTCCAAATTAGGCATGAATGCATCTGCTAGGCCTGTGGAAAGTGTGGGCGCCGGCTCCGTTGATGAAACCTAACTCTCATCCACAAACCTCCCGGTCTCATTCCTTCAGGTTTGCACAGGATATGGTGTGTGTAGATGGGGTTGTGTTTGTCACAGCTTAAGCTAGCCATGGTCCCTCAGGAGGCACAGCCGTCTTGTGAATTTTCACAGTCTAAATGACAGGCACATCAGGAACCGCATGCCACCAAACCATGTGGAACCACAAACCGATATGTTTCCTATAATGTGTTGCTAGTAATTGTCTTCTTGGTCACCTGTTTTGGGCACCAGCATATCAATGTGTCGAGAATGCTACCTGTGTTCATGTTAATCACTTTGATTGTCATAATGATTTTAGAGGTCACAATGTTACAGCTTTCGGTGGTTCAGAATGATGATTTGTATGAATCTCAGTGTGTGTGCGAGAGCAATGTAAAGGATCTAGAGGGGTACTTCACTGGGTTACTTCAAGATCGCTGTGACCCATGATGAATTAAAGTGTCACAAGAATACAATGAAATCCACCTGTCGGATAGAAAATTGACTAACTGGGACATATATATTAGATTCACCTCTAAATTGAGGTGAACTAATAGATAACAGTGCCACTGGTGTGAAGATGAGATTAGTCAGTCAAGTTGAAATTTGGCGCATACAACTAAACGACCGTTTTCCCACTTGTTTTATCACATCCGGTTGAGGTTATAGATGTTTTGTGGTACTTTCTACTCGGACTGCATACATCCACCAGCAGACAACTGGTTGTTTGGTAATGTTGACTAACCGAAGTGTTTCTGTAGTGAAACGGATAGGCATGCGAATCAACTTTCAGATTAGTCGATCAGCAATACTACCCCATTTGAACTCCTGATTCGAATCCTATCCGTGAGCTTTGTGTCTGTGAAAATTTGTCAACTTGACACCGGTCCTTACTAGTGGACGATGACACAGGCTGATTAAACAATCGGCAAAACTGCATTATCCCAGAAACCATGTCATCACTCGTCTAATACGTCTGCATGCAGAACCTCGAAAGCTGTTTGCCATAATGTTTTTTGGTATCCGTGTGTCTACCTACCTCACCGTACCCTACTTTGTGTCCAGGTGAATAGTGATACATCTAGTTACATCAATAAATACATGTTCGACAGTTTGGGGCACAATCCAACTCAGTGGTCTAATTAAATATGTATGGTGGGACTTGCATAGAGCAGACGACTTTGTTTTTAATGTGACTTGCAAACGAATTTGAAATAACTGAAGTTGAATGTATCCGAATAAATGAGAAATTGGAAACAATAACACATGGAGATTTAGCAAATATACATGTACTATAATACGGCCATCCATGGAACAATTGTTTAACGTTGTTAAACCTCACCTGCGTTCAGGCGCTCATCTAGTAGTTAGCCTATTTTTGTATTGCTCAGACGTGAAACTCTACCAACTGTTAAGAAACCCCTTAATCCTTGTCGACGGGATTTTTGTCAGGTCTTAGCTCAGTGATCTGCTCCACTCGATTGCAATAGAAACCGCCTTCAACCAAACGCCAGTGCAACTTGCTTTATATCCGGTTTCTGTCGCCATTAATTTTATGGTGTGGAACATTCCTAATTGTTTCACTCGTATTGTAGCCGCCTCTCGCAAATGCAAAGTGCTTTATTCGTTTCGGCTTCTTCTGTCCGTTTTGTCTTTAGATGCCCGTACTTCAACACAGTTTTCTTCATACAATGGGCAGATTTGGTCTTATGGATGTCTTACATGTTGATAGTGGGAGCAATTAACCGCTACCCGGTGAACAGGAGTCCATGGGTCTCGTCAACCTTCCGGTATATCCGACACACCTGCTAATCCAGAAGCAGACCATCTGGCATGTATAACCATCTAATTACCCTAGCCATCAACTGATCTGTGCCCTTAATAGTCCTGTGGGAAATAGTCCCACTGTGTGTTTTGGAATGCTAGTAGTTTCTATGCGATAACAACTTTGAGCTAATCTGTAGTATTATATGGTTCGATAAAACATATGTGATTTACCATAGCAAGTCCTGGTTTCACCTTATAGCTGACGACGTGGCTTACTTGCTCAAGTTAGTTGAACTTCATGTTGCCCCGAAATACCATGATCACCTACTCTGTTGGTCCAAAATTTTAATTTCACAGAACATAAGATAGAACTGTTAAATATCCCGTGAATGCTAATAATGATGAACATCTAACTAAGGCTCGGTAGCAGATTTTCGCTTAATGAATGAGGTACTTGAACGATAGAAAGCGGTAGGCAAGACTTTTTTCCGTACTCTTGGTCGCATATCAATCCCTGCGAACAGATTGCACGCTGAGACCAGTCATCAGAATTACAGAGCAAATTGGCGTCAGTTAGACCAAACGGTGTTGTTTCAATCCTTGGATTGGAAGGTCGACTATGTAGATACCGCATAGCATCACGTATAATCATGAGTACTGTTCACATGCATGCGTGAAATTCCTGTAATGGCTTCATTTTTAGTTCTTTTCCATCCCTAGTACCTTACTGCATCCACAGAGCCAAGACATGTAAGTTGTATCAAGGTTTCAGCTGTGATGGTAGATGGGGGTGTGATTTTTCTGTCGTTTGGTATAAATTATCATTTACTGGTCACATGTTGGTTGATTTTGGCAGCGCACCAAGCCACCAGTTAGAGTAGGATATGTGATTAAATCTTACCCGCCGACCCACTACCACGTCTGTTACTGTTAGATGATGGTCAGTCTGATCCTGAATGAAGTACTCTGGTACCCATAACAGCCTAAATGTAGTCGATTGGCCAACTAAAACAATTCACCAGATGAAGTCTACGGCATGCTGAAGGAATAAAGTTCATGTGGGCGTAAAATAAAGCGTTCTGTAGTTCCCATTCACCCAGTCCATTTAGGTTCAACGTTAAGTACAGAACTCGCTGCCCCCAACTGATCAGAGAAACCCAGATGTCGTGCTAACACAGACAAGACCAAGGAAATCGGCCATAGCATGGAAGATTCTGTAATTACATTTTAGCTCATTGCAGACTGCATGGCGGATTTGTATCCATTCGCCCAGTGAGTTAGTTGTCACAATCTATTTCGATTAAGTGTACCTCAACGTCGATTTGTTTCCTTTCGGGTTCAAATGATTTGCGGTTAGTTTGCTCGTCGTGGTTACAAGAGACGGTAGAGAACAAGCTAGATTTCACTCCTAAAGCTGATTTGACACTGAAAGGTAATATTTGCAGCAACTTAGGGGCAAGAACAGTTGAACCGACAGAAAGTCGGTGGAATCATCATTTGCAGGATTTGGCCCATTCATCAGTCATTGGTACAAGTGAGTAACCATGATCTCAGACTTGGGTAGCCGGCAAACGAGTGTTTAAATTTCTAGTAACAATGTGCAACCACCTTATAAGCATGGAATGTTGCGACTGTTGCAAAAGTTAAAACAGTTTGAATAGCAACCCGTAAAAGGAATTCGTTTCGCGAATCAGCAGCGAACGAAACATTAATCCGTTTGCAAATACCAAAGACAAAATGACGTCGCTGCCGATTACGCACCATAAATAACTAGTCTAATTATAAGGAAGAATTATGGGATTCCAATGGTATGGGTAAAAGTCCATCTCATCTAGCCTCAGTCAATCAGCCTTCACATGTCTGGAAAATTACTGTACGACCGTGTCATCCTTTCGGTAATGGTCAGCAAAGTGGCTTGCGAGAAAAGCCCGTCGTTTAACAACTGCACCATACCAATAGATTTGGTAGTTTGGAATTTCAACAAATCCTGATTTAACACCTCTAACAACCCCCGCTGAAAACTAGTGTATTGTATATGTTCTTATCTCCCCATTCCTAGAGCAAAAACAACCTAGCTGCTTAAAATGTTCGTACGGTATCTATCAAATGATAGCTGGTAATTAATACAATGTTTTGTTTTAAACCCTTTTGAATCTCACTGCTGAATAAGCAAGATACTACATAGCATGGCTATGAAAGGATTAATTGTAAACTATCAGCTTACAAGTTAGGCTAAGGGATCGGAGTAATAGAAGAAAACAAACGCATTGTTTACTATCAGCGGTAGTGCACCTCCATACGGCTCCATATCACTGTCCTGGACGGTTTTGACAACCAACTGCTTCAGAAACAGCTGGGAACGCAAGTATAACTGTCTACAGGTGGTTTCTCTCAGTATAAGTGTAGATCCGATTGGAGTTTGGCAATGGTTCAGGACTATAAAGCAACAGAATCTGGTAAAAGGTAGTTCATAAGGGAGGTTCATCGCAGCCAGTTTCCAACTCAGATAGTCGTCCACATGTCCGGAAAAGCACTAGACTGCAGTTTCAGTCTGTTGGGCATCGTCAGTAGCGCGCATCCATCGGATGCATCAGGATTCGAACGCATGATCACCAGCGGCTTGAACTTCCAGTCAGCAGCTTATGCCACGGAGCCAACGGGGACAGCTTCGGACCGTCATGATTTACAAGCTAACTGCGATATAGCGCGTCATGAGTACATCAAAAGGTAGTTCAGCTTAACAAAACATGATAAGAGCACGCTTGTTCCCAGTTCGATCCACTTTACTCGTTTGTGACACACTTGCGGAACTCAAAAGCACAAGCGAGCTTCCGCATTGCGCTGATTTATTACTGCCGCGAGACAGTTGTCAATAAATCGGCTCCAGGAAGTTACTTTCATTCGGGTGTTCAGACAAGCTTGGTAGGTCTACATCGAGGAGAAGATTGACAATTCTCCCAGATGCCCTAGTCCGACATTTCTTAACACATTTGAACAGTTTGCGCTGCGAATAAAGAAATTTTGTCCAGTAAACTGAGGAAGAATTGTCCATTGTGGCTGTTGCTTTTTTAAATAATTTAGAACAAGTTTTCGACGGTTTCCACTTCTTAAAGAAACGAAGTTGTGCATGTTTCAATGTTTAAAATGATACGAATAAGCAGATGATTTCAACAACTCCTTATACGGCAAAATTCTCTATGTTTGTGCATGCAAAATAAACCAGGTGCTTGTGATGAGAGTTGGACCACTTGTAAAACTAGAGTCATATACTTCAGCTGTCGCACGCGACAGTATACGGTGTGTGGGAAACAGCGGCTAGGCATGTAGGTGGAGTATAGGGAGCCGTGGTAGGGACAAACGAAATGTATACAATTCATGGTAGAAACGGGGGAAAAGCAACGTGATGAGGCCATTATACAATATTGCATAATCACTGAAGTTGAACAGTATGTTTTTCTATGTTACATACTCCCAGTAGCGGTTCCGAACCGCGTGATCAGGGTGATAGGCACTCCGAGCGGGAACAGGCCTTGGTTGATGAGCTTGAGACACAGGGTCAGCGTGCCAGAATCTAAAATCACTATATCTGTGACTTTGACGCGTTGGCTGCGTGTTACTGTGCAACTTCGCTGTTTCTTTTAGACGATCGCATGCACCGCGCATTTGACGACGTTTGAAGCGGATCAAGCGACGCTTCCAAATCGATCTCCATGGTAGAAGGGCCGTCTTGGAGGTGAATAGTAACTCCCACTTGTCGTTATGAAAGTAGCTTTCAAAATCGCTGACCACCAAGTAAGTTATCCCGAGCTCCATTTCCGGACACCTACAGCGTAGCTCGTTTAGACGAACCCATACAGGGACGAGCTGCTCATCCGTTGCCTGATCAGCAACTTCGGAATACTCGACCTGAGTAGCTCCTGGACTGTCATAAGCGATCGATGCCGGCCAATATATCGCATGTGTACCTTTGAGAGCCACTTCGTTCAGTCGCCATACTTGAGTTACAAGCATTTCGAATCGAGCCATCGCGCCGTGTAGTTCTCTTGATTTGAAATACGCTTGAAAAACTAAAAAGACCAGACAATGGAAAGCACTTTGGTGATTAGGGCAATCTCGCAACATTTTGACCTATTGACAAAGCAACAGTAGTACGAACTCCCAGCAAAAATGATACCTTATTTTACTGGGCTAGAGCGCTTCCACTACTGCTAGACTTCGATAAAGTTCAGAGGAAACCGACGCAGGGTAAGGTCTTTGTACGAAAAATTTGAATTAACAAGAGTACTCCAGTTCTCATTTCACTACCTTATCTAGGGTAGATTCTTTAGCGGTGTATATGCCGTATACACTGGTCGGAGATGTAGAATGCCTGCACATCCATAAAAACATCATCCAATCCGACACCAAGTGGCATCTATCCATCGGCCATAAGTTTCGATGATAAGAATACTCCTCTTATTGCTAAATACATTCATACTTTGCCAAGTACAGGCTAATACCCATGTCAGTGGAAAAGCCCTATGATAACATTGCAACATAAGCTTGACCCACGAACTCAACGGGATAGCTACAGCATTATAAATCATACATGCACTATCGCTAAAGTTCCAGAAAAACCCAAGGACAGCTATCAATTTCTTATGCAAATGGATCTGATTAACCTTTCCCAACACGGCTTTCTTTTAAAATGTTCCTGCTTCATACACCAGCTACAATTCATCGGTTATTTTGCGACCACGACTGATTGAGGGATGTGGTCACCAAAAATTATCCATGACTTGAAATCAACATTTGACTGATTGCCACAAAAGATACTGTTGATTGTACTACGATCTTACTGTTCTGCTTAGCTACTTCGACTCTAACCTAAATGCTTAGACTCGATAACTCAGAATGGACTGGTACTACTTTACTCTAAATGAAATGACCATTGGTGTCTCACTTGAAAGTATGCTTATGCCGTTACTTGTTCTAATCTATTTCAAAAACATACGTAAACCCTTGGCATAAGGAAGCTTACGTACGTTTTCACGTGACGTCAACCACGTTTGTTCATTTCTACCAGACCAGTTATAGTTATGCATGAGAAACATGCTAGCTAACTTATCTTCACCGAGTAATTCTAATGGAGGATGGTAAAGAAAATCGGTTCAAGAAAAAGCTGGTACATGGGCATGGATGAAGCATTGGAATATGCTCCGTTACCCTTTCCGGTGCTCTGATCCCGACCTCCGGAGCAGTTCGGTGTCTAGGAGTCCAATATTATTACTTCTGCAATTCCTCCCAACATGTTACCACTAGGTCGCAAAACATGACAACGATATGGCAGCTTAAGCTGAAACGCGACTTGACACATTCAGTGTCGTGATAGTATATAACCTGGTGAATTACATCGTCATGCACAGCCAGACAAGTGGACGTAATAGCTCAGGAAAACGTACGATGATCAATTATTAACTTGCCATGATCGTCGTCGTCAGCTCTGAATAAACCCCCTTTGGGTTTGATAACAAGAATACTCACTTTCATTACCACAACTGCTTAAATAAACAAGTTTTCACAGGTACAACTGACCGCGAACTGCTGAAAAGCCCCACTAGTTAACCGTTAAGGGGGGGGTTAATTTCTACCCTTGCAAACTGTCAGTCATAAACTCCGAACCATCCACTCATTAGTGGAAGGAACTACAATGGTCTTTGTGTAAATGCGGTCAATTTTGTGTCAATCCAAGGGAAATACTTCTGCGTACAAATGATTGCTTCAATCTAAGCATCGTATACCACTTATCTGGAAATAAGTAAACTCAGTTATTTATCGTTTATCTATTTGTTTATTAGTTATATACATTTTCATCACAGCCTCGTGTCATTACCCCACAGCTAGTTCAGGATATTAGCAAGCCTAGGTAGGTACTCAGGAGGTTACTAACGAACGTGGTCAAATCGACTTGGGAAAATTAAGCCTGAAAGACTACTGAGTGTGGCACCAAAATCACAGTTGTACTCCCTACCATTAATCGCTTGGAGCACCCATCAAAACATAGCGATGTTTCGCAACTGGTGGTGGTGAATCGCGGTCCGCGTCATTAGTGGGGTGACAGACCTGCCCAGTAGGGATGAACAGATTGACCAGAAATCAAAACATCCTACCAAAGGGAGGCGAATCTGAGATATTCCCCAAATGGAAGTAGTATACTTGGTCGTCCTCTTATACAGCCCTACTGATTGTCTTCAATTTTTATTCATTTGTTTACTTGAGTTCAAAAAGAACCAAATGGGTCTAAAACGCCATTGTTTATGGAAGTAGATGTGCAATACATATCTAATCACTTTAGTGATCAAACCTGCTTTTATTGTTGCTTGTTTGCCTTTGTTGAATAAACTGTATGTCGCTGAAGAACCGACCTTCGCAGCTGTAAGTAGCAACCACGCATGCCTTTCACATAGCCGCACTAACTACACAGATATTTCGGATGCCCTAAAGCTGACAAAAACCCATATGCTGCAGACTTCTTGGCTGATTGAAAGCTTTCATGGTTTCAGGTATGTGTGGAAGGACAAATGACTCCCAGTGACTTACAGATAGCAATTCGGATGGCTAGTCAGCAATATTGAAAACAAGTACATCACCCTGCGGTAACACTGCGCTATGAAGGTGGAATCACATTCCAAACTATGAGGCCTCATATGTGTTCTTCTAGGAGCATCTCCACCGGGACCAGCCTCGAACTCATCCGCATACTCAACGCGCTTCGGCAGATCATTCGATGCAGCAAAGAACAAACTGACTAATAACTTAGGTGAAAACTTTGAACCGAAAAGTATCGATAATCCGCCCTGATAAGCTCTATTCATCGTGACGATCTCCAGTCTACTGGTGCTTTTGAGCGTCTAAGTGGAACAGACTGCAAAATCTGAATAAATTCTCAGGCACTGTCTCCAAAACAGATCAACTTGTCTACAGATGTCACCGGTTGGCTTGTAAGGTAACCTTCAAGTACATGTGTGCCAATGCACGTTGTTTGCATGAATGACAACATTCAAGTGCCTGGGGAGTGCAAACATGTGGTCAGTACAGCAATTACTGTGGTACTACCTGGTAGTTTGGGCGAATGGTCCCGACCACGGGTTACCGGCCACAAAGTCATTCGGGCGTCTTCCGTGCGAGGTGGCAACAGTTGCATGGCTCAAATAACCAAGGTCAACTAGGTTCGGTCTGGCACGAAAATGACACACCGGGGTTCCAGACGGGGGAAGCGCGTGTATGCCAGCGATGCAGAATTGAAAACGCTCCAATCCCACATTTTGAGCGTGGTTGTAACCACTGTATCAATATCGACCTGATGAAGCTAATATACAAGGGCTCTGACTAAATCTAGTCGCACTCAGTAATCAACGCAATCAAAACACAAAGAGAGAAAAATCGTAAGACAGGGCTTTCACAAATACCAGTTTCACTAAGGTTGGTTCCCACGAACTATAACTACTTGAAATGAAACAAACTTTGGTCTGCATCGAGTATCTGAAAAATCAGCTGATTGCCAAAGAATATATTAGTAACCCGTCGGTAAACTTTGATCCAACCCAAATAAAACAGTTGGATAGATCATTACCACCAGCGCATCTGAAGTACAAGAAAGACCCTGTAGGCCCGAAACCATTATCGTATGCTTTATCCTTGGTAAAGGAAAATAGCATTGCTGAGTAGCTGCAGCATGTCTGCAGTTAAATATAAACGTCATCACTCTAAAAAGAAGACGCCAAAGCAGTGCTGTTCGGTTATTTTCAAAGTTTCAAGAGAGGGATCGATCGACAGATACATGCACTGCCGGTTAGTCATAACGCTGCAAGCACAGTTGAAGGATATACTGATTAACCTGATAGAACCCCTCTACAAAAGGTCCCTTCTTGAGACTGCGCCACAATGACAAAAGCAGGGATAGCACGCGACGCAAAACCTCGAACGGTGACACAGGAAGCGGTCACACTTGAAGAAGAGTCACTTGAGTCGGTGTAGATCTCAATTTAGGAACCTCAAGCCATTTACCCACCAAGTATGCAAATATGGTCTTTCCTTCACATACCTGTGGTTAAACACATTTTATCGATCGCACCCGAAAAAGCACCTTGGGTCTGATATTTACGACTGGCATACTGCCAGTTTTCGCTGATATTCTGGAACACTTCACGACAGTGACTACAGGCTGTCTTCTAGTTATTCCGAAAGCACGCCCGACTGCACCCAAATCACAAATGCTCTCAGGACAATATCGAACAGTTGATTTGAACTGGTTTTCTACTTTGCTTAGGTCCCGCTCATTAGGGCCTGTTCTACACCGACAACCCGAAACTTGCCTCTGATGCTCTCTGTAACAACATTAATCGCTTTCTAGACATGCTAGCTCCCATAAACCATAATACTTTACCCAGGCCGTAAAACCCCTGTTGTGCGCTTGAGTTGCTAAGCTCCAAAAATTGCTTACGGCCTATCGCAAAACTAATGACTTCTCATTCTCGTATAAACACTACAATTTTGTAACAATGCTGAAGTTGATCTACCCCACTAAACAACTCGCTGAAGTGTGCACGGATGTCGGTTCAAAAACCGTGAACCAATTAGCCTTTTGAAACGCAAATTACCAAAAATAAGGGTTGAACGAATTTACTCGTAGTTCCAGATGGCTGTAAAATGACAGACCATACCCTTACTAGCGAAATGTTTAACAAATCTTTCTACGCCTTCTTCAAGGTAGATACTAAACCCGCGATTCTGGTGTTGCTACCATTTGCAGTCAATCAGCTCAACTGTATGAAATGTGAGCTTCACGATATACTTAAAAGTATCAGCTACGCAAAACTGTCCTATTTCGGTGGTCCAGACCATATTCCGTCTGCAGTAGCAAAGTTCTACAATGATCACAACCCTTGCCACTGCAGAGTATGTTTACTCTACCCATGAACTCCGGCGCAATGCCAGCTCAGTGGAAAGATACCACAGTGGTACCGCGAGACAAATCAAGCTAGCTATATGAGACTAATATTTATCTCTCAATAGGTCACACATCTATTTTATCAAGAAGATGCAGCGACGTGCCAAAACTAGACTGGTCAAATTCCTACTGTCAAGAAAGAGAATAAATAACTCACAGCATGATCTCTCTTATATTTGGCCCTAGATAACTTATCATTTGGAATCTCTAAACCATCTAACACCTCACATGTTTTTGGTATGTCGGTAAGACTATTTTGACTCGACATGTACCAAGTCTTTGATCAGGTGTCTCATGGAAAACAAATGTCTAAAATGATGTCCCATTGACTAGGAGAATCCCCGCTTTCCTTCTCCAAGTCGTACCTTACAAAGCGAAGGCAGGTGGTAATTGTAAAGAATAAATGTCTGAGCGCACACATGTCACCAGCTGTGTAATACAAGGTAGTATCGTTCTTCCTAATACATGTTAAGGATCTCTTCGAAGTGGTAAATTTCCGCACGCAACACATCTTTGATGATGGCATTAAAATCGTATGCACTTTGCGTCCCGATGCTTCCAGTCACGTTAACATGATTTCCATGCACTTGAAACCTGATTCTCAAAGGGGAAAATGCTTTTCTCTACAGACACATGTTGTGTACTATCCAAAAATGCAATTTAGCCCAGCGGCCTGTCTAGTGACGGCATACCAGTTAAGCTTACTTGTACGAAACGGGACCTGAGATTGTGATAATCATGCTCAGTTGACTTATTTGAACAAGTAGGTGATGTTGCTGCGGGAGCAAGACGGAGCATTGGATAGATACCTGTGGGCATTTTCTCTGTACTTTGCTCCCATATATGACTTATTCGACCTAGGTTGAACTATTGTTCAAAAAGTATTGCACTGGAAGTTTGCAAAGAGCATTCACAAGCGACTCATAGTTTTCAACATTTCGCACAAATTTATACACGTTTCCAACCTCAGGATAACAGTAATGTAACCAGCCGTTTGCAATCCACGAAACAAGATATGCTCATTAGCAGAATTTTAGTTCAGGATCAGTAGATCTGAGAACATCTTCCTTAACAGGTACGCCAGAAACTAGGGCAAGCTAAGAGCCGGCGAGCGTGACTGCACGCCTGTGCACGGATTTCGAAGAATTACCAACGAGTTCTTACTGTCCAAAACGGGAATAAGTGATATGATCGTCCCGTAACAACAAACAAAGCATACGTACAGGGTCCAGGTTTCCTCTGAACTAGTGTTTGATTCGGTATTATGATCCCTTACGCGTGTTAGCTGTTTTCCAATAACGCATATGAGAGGGTGGTTGGAGGTAAGTCAACGTCAATTCTTTGCGTGCAACCAATTGATATGCCGCTGCCATCCTACCAACTGTCAGTAACTGAACTGCTTTTGAAATTTTCTGTTTTACGTGTGATAATGGTTCGATGAAAATTTGCGCTTACCCGATCATGACACTACAGGCGGCTTGGATCTTCGAGAATAAAAGTTTGTTTGTTTATTTATGCTAAGTCACGGGCACAACTTGTTTTTGGTAGCTATTCAAAGAGCAAACATGAGCTTTCGCGGGAACAGCAACCGGAAAGCCAATCAAGTTTTACATATAAGAACCAATCCGTAGTGCACGAGTACGATGTGTAATGCGGAACTGGTGCAGCCTAGTAAGAACAAAGCTAAGTGTGGCAAGGCAAGTGTAGTTTGGACCGAATGCATCCAGCGAAAAGTGCATGTAAAATATGAAAAACTCAGGGAGACGGCATTTGAAGGAGGACCAAAGAAAACTGGTGGAACAGAGCGCTAGTGAAAGAGTGATCAACAGATATATTCGGTATAAATGGTTCCATTGTTCATTGACAAAGCATTTTCATCGATTTCCAGACTTCTATTCCCAAAGAGCTACTCGTATGCATCTGGGCGTAAATCAGTCCGCTTTTCACTGATCTCAAATTCTCGTGGAACATTTGTGCGTTTGATTATGATAAGTATAACAAACTTGAAGGCAACAGGCATTGGCCCCCAGATTTTTACACCACGTACCGTAACGCCTTCTAAGAAGTAGCTAGACTGCAGACAAATGACAGGCTGCCGGCGCCTCCCTTGTTCATCACATATAACTAAAAAATAACAGCTTCTGTAAACGGTATATAGTCCCCACCGTCTCATCATAACGATGCGAGAAAATTGTCGGGTTATATTGTCTTGTCCTGTTCCAATAACAGTCTTTCGCGTCCGCTGATTCCGAGCGCAAGTTAAAACGGGTCAGCAATCCATGTTGCTTCATGTGATTTGATAACGATGACAGCTTAATAAGCTGGTTGCACTGCCCTACAGAATGTTTCGTACAGCTTACAATGGTTCATTCTTCCCAATCAAACAATCCACCAACCGAGACTTCCCTACGTCTCAGATATCGGGTCAACTAGAAAGTTAATCGATGAAAATAGTACTGCTGTCGTCAGCTCAAAGGCTACAGTCATCCGTCGACGATCCCACTAGATTTTATAGGTCACAAGCAGAAACAGTTCCAAGGCGTCAGGCACATTCCGAAACCGATTACTTTGTGAAATCGAGTTCACCAGCCAATCATACTGGTAAGGGCCCCGGAAATATATCCATTACTCAGACACCTAAAAGTAGAAAGACAAGTAACAGCTACGGTCGTTGTTTTCGAGCACTGCATGTGATTACAGTCAGCATACCATTCAATCTAGTCGTACGTCAATGACAGTTATGCCTTCACCCCGAATTTAGGGTGTAGTTAGGAACATGTAATACGACTGCTGAACGGTGGTAGGGGACATGCTGATTCTATCGCACAAGATGCGCATCGCATAGTCGCACAATCGGACGCTACCCTAACAAGGCGAGTACACGCTTGACCAAAGACCACCCTCAAGCAAGCCAGCATAAGGAATTTGCGCGCTTGCGAGGATAGCAGAGTGAATAAGATCCCACTAAATCTGACACCGCTAGCTCTTCTCTAGTACGCCCAGTATAAGACTTTCCATTCAGGGTGCTACGCGAAATATGGGTGCTTATACCTGTACTAGCTATACGGGAGAGTTATTATGGCACTTGGTTGTATATAGATTAATGTTCTTTTCCATTATACATCCGTACAATAAACAGTTAAGTTGGTGCCGATTCCAATGACTGGTGAGATAAGTTGATGAAAGCCACGGTATTTGCGTCAATATAAGTACCGACTAATAGCAGTAACCGTGTGTGGGCTTGAAAACGTTTCAGGGACATCAGTGCTTGAGCCGTTATGGATTTTCACGTAATTCGCAACAGAGCTGTCCTACCAAGTGGGATTCGTATTTTGATTTTAATTTCCGTATCCCTAGTAGCATTGGAATTGAAACGCGTTTTTGATGTTGCCGTTGCTTTGCGAAAACACAGTGAAGGCGTTATTCTGTAACAGACATTCCCAGGGTTTGAGAAGATGATTAATGAAGCATACCCAAGTCCCCTGGTCATGTTGTAAAATCACCTTTTTTCTAACAAGTGTGGTGATTAACGACACTCATGTGCCACCCTTGATATTGGATGTATCCCGTGCAGCCAGCGTCTCCATCGGAACGCATCGATTCAAAACACACGCAGTTTCTGTGCCTCTGACTGCTGTGGAGGTCGGAGAAGAAATTCCAAGTCTATACAGATCCCAAGTTACCCAAATCCACTTCTGCCCGATGTCGACGCAGCCAATTAATTTGGTTGGCAGCAGCGTTGGTTTCCGCTGGAATGGCTATTTAAAAAGGCACACCTGTCGCAATGCCTCAGACAGGCTGTTTTTACATGTTCCAGCATGCCCAAGCACACATTTTGGTGACATGAGCTGAAGTAACATAAAACGATGCCTAAGCGAGAAGAAGGAACTTATTCACAACAACAGCATTAAAGACAAAAAACACCCGGTTTCACATGGGTGTATTTATTCTTCGATTATTTGCTTGGGTCACAGGGATGCAGTGCACGCCCTTAATGTGAAGCTGGCCCATTCAAAGCTCAAGCCACAGAGATTAGGAGTGCCACTACGGTAGAATTCTTGAAACAGGCAAATGCTTATTAATGCAGAAAACGAATATGTCAGAAGCGTGTTGAATTTGGGACCCAATAGTGGTGCAATTTCGTACCACCTGCCATATTTCTGTACCCCTGGTGCAGATCACGACGCGTTGATACAGAAGTTGCGTAAACGGTTGAGCTTGTCTCGGTGTCCAGTCAGTTGCACATCTGCACGAGCCATCAGGTCCTAAGCACACGTGGCAATCGTGCTGCGTATCCCACTGCTCTAGCCCAGAACTCACATTAAATAGCGATTAGTTAGGACCAATAGTTTAAAACTGCGAGGCAGGGTACCGATTCCCAATCAGTAAACGGGGACGAGACGTGTAACGTCATGGGTAACGACCTAAGCACATAAGCCAGAGCGGTCTACGTGGCTTATGTCAAAGACGATTCAGGAAACAGGTGCGCCACTAATAAATCCCAATGGGGTAAAGCGATCGTTCAAAGATTTTCCAGACATGTGTGATTGCCTTAATTGGGTCCATATACATCAAGTACAGCGTATGAAAATTGTTTCAGTCTTTCTGACATGAAAGCGGTGAAAGTTGTTACAACCGAAACATGAGTTGGAGACAGCTGAATTATTAACGGTCGATAAGTCTGTGAGACAGAGATAGCTGGAACAAACTTCAAAGTAATGAAGCATCATAAACCGAGTGCTAACTTACCGGCATCCTTACGACAAAACTTCTTCAATTTTATCCTTTCTTTGTTCGCATCACATGCAGCACAATGGACATCTGTCGAGAGTGGGGAGGGTATAGGAAGTGGGAGGTAAATGCTTGTTTATGTCTCAACATAGACAAGAACCGCGCTAATGCTCATCAATTTGAACTCCTACCCACCTCTTTGGAATACGTCCAACCATATCCCTAGAACAATAATTTCAAACACACCATACAAAACCGCAGCTCAAACAACAAAGTTTCAAATGATTTCTTTAGAAGAATAAGTATTTAGCTCCCATAAAGTCTCAACTTAATCGGTCTTAGAATTTGGTGCATATCGGGTTGCGAATTTGCTGTATGCACCACAGGAGAATGGACATTCATTTAACACATGAGTACACAACTTTGGCAGTAAGGAACTAAAGGGAGATTACAAGGGTACTCTGAAGAAGGGAGCAGTTTTTAAGTGGACAAGAGATGATACCGCTGACAATTTTCAAAGAGGGAAGTTTAAAACAAAACACAGCTTGCTAAAACTGACGCTAAGTAGGGAGCACCTAAAAAATCTGGGCCTGAGTGAGGAGCTGCTATTAACCCGGTGGACAGTGTAATTACTATGCGGAGCGGAGAGATCTTGGGAAGATGGTTTATGTGTGAATCTGAATATATATATATATATATATATATATATATATATATATAGCCATCTTCCCTAAGGCTATGAGCGCAGGCGTCCAGCTTCCTTTCGTATAGGCCACATCGGTTGCATTACTTTGAGTGAAACGCTGACTGATCCCATTCTGCCTATCTAAGCCTTTGGAAACCAGTGATGTGTCGGGCTAACACCAGCTTTCAGACCAAAAGGCACCAGCACACTGTATATCTATTCAGAAGTGATAATAATATACATGTGGGACTTCGTCACAGGATTCCAGATCCTGCACTAACTCAGCGGCATTTGTTAACGTCCACCGACGCTTTATGTCATAGTGGATGTGAGAGATAACCATATGAAGCGTTTGCATTTATACAGTCACCCGACGTTCAATAAAGCTGCCTAAGTCTTGGTGCACGATGATTGGAGCATCCTACACGCACAATGCCACTAACTGTAATCCTGGTGGCTACGCCGCGACATAGTGGACATCACGTGTGCAGTGATTAGACATTCGCACTTGATCATTAAAAATAAAGTTAGAGGAGCACCAAGACATATGGAGGAGACAGTAAAAAAGCACTTTAATGAGGGTAGTGATTTCACTACTACTTCGCCGGTGCTTTCGGTTTTTACTTATGTTCGATAACGTTTCCAACCAGATGTAGTAGTGAAACTTGGCAGTCTACTAGGGAATCGGCAGCCCCCTACCGCAGCCGATAGTGAGATTGGGGCCCTCACGTTTTAAGCTCAATTTATGTACTGGCTATCCGGATGTCTCTTAGAGTCAACCTTGACGAGCGCAAAGGTGTTACGGCGGTTGTCCCGCCGAGTTTGTCTACGAATCATGTGCCACTAGCAAAAGATAACGTGGGAGTTGTGACTGGTTGCTCCTAGTCTTCTTATGGAAAGGGACAAATCACTTGAGATCAGCTTACACATTGCGTTGAACTGCTGCTTATTTACACGAAAAGACAGGCAATGATTCTCCGGTATCGCAATTAGTGCTGCACTTCAGTTTGCAGGCAGTGGATAATTCACAGCCTGTGCTAAATTACACAATATATTACACCTGTCAGTATCCTCCATTCAACCCAGAAGGGCGCAGCAGCGGAGCTGATGTAAACTGGGTCACCTATTATCACCAGCAAAGCAACTAAGTGGGTCGGTATTCATAGTCTCATACACACTAGTACACTCACTACAGATCAACAGGTGGTAAGCATCGCTGGCCTGGCCACGTGAATGGATATCTACTAATTAGAAACCTAATCAATGCTGAACACGCATGGAAATAAAACATACTACAAAATCATCGATTACTAACGCTGCGGGTATCAGTGTCCACTTCGATTCCTGATCCTCTTCCTGTCTTCAGTATGAATTTCTGACTGGATTTTTGGTCTGTATTATGAAGAGCTAGCATGCTACACACTTTTACCTTTGTCCGGGCGTAATCTCATCTCACACCAAGAAGGAGAACTACGGTTCTTGTTCGCTCAGTGATTCGAACAAATCCCGATTTGACAAAATGTCTGTTTGGATCAAGCATTCTCCAGCGTAGGATGGTTTAGATCCTCCGTTACTGAAAATTATTTAAGCAGCACAGGTCATTCCACTAACTTCTAAGTTATTGGAATAGCCTGCGGTTTCTAAATCGCCGAACTTTAGATGAACTGGTTGCCATGATGCCGCAAAATGGCAATGTGAAATGGTGTCGGCGTTCTGTCAGTCCAACTGACCTGTAAATAGAAACTACAGTTTGGTTTTCAACAATCCAATACTTTCAGTAGTTTATAGCGTCTGATGACAGTTTCATCTTAAGCAGGTTTCCATAAAATCCAGCGACCGATAAGAGGCCTGTGGTGGCCTGTCGTCTCGCTGTATTCAGGCAATGAATCAGAATTGCTGATTTGGGTACCTCCGCTAACGAATTCTGTCAGTAAACAATTTTCGCAACGGAACAATGCAACAACGGTTTATAACGAGTAAAAAAGTACAGGCTTAACATGTCCTGTATGTTGGTAGTATAAGAAAGTGAATTCAAATATCACATAAGTGGACCAAATAAAATACGCTTCGGTGGATCTATAGAGTAATGGTGTGTAGAAGATGGGTTGTGGGAGTGAGGAAGTACCAGGCAAAACGAAATAACTGGTTGTTATAATTATCACCCATTTTAAATAACAAGCAGATTGCCAGCCCCTCTGCACAGCTTTACGTGCGTCAATGGAGTCATAAATCCAAAGAGGTTAGTTAGCCTGAGTGTCCACAGAATTTCGGTTCAAGTAACAAAGTGTAAAGCGTTCGATTCGATATCCAGTCGTTTTGAAAAAGCAACGAAGGCATAGAAAACTGGATTTGGTAGGGTGCTCTAGGGTTGACAGACCCGGAAGGTGGAGTACTTGCATGGACAATCTAGACGACTGTGTGGTTGACTTAGTTTTAGGCTACTTCCTCCGAGGTCGGTGTTCCGGCTGAGTTTCAGTAGGTGGTGGCATACGTGGCTGGGGCGGTTCAGTATTTGGTAAACTAATATGAAGTCTCCACCTAGTTGCCTGTGGCATCCACTGAACACGGCAAATGTCTTCCGTCGTTGCCGCTACGGAAGATTGCCCAGTCCTTTTGCAACTTTTGTTGCTCGACGTTGGGGAGTTTCAAGCCCTGCAAGGTCACGCTTTAACCAAGGATCCCAAGCCTGAATTGCGCATTCCACGTGGGGATGCACGTAGGCGTTGAGTATCAGTGAGAAGTTGGCTTAATCTAAACTCCCGAATGCCTTCCGCAAGAGACCAACATGATAGTTACTACTTTTGAAGCAGACTCTGACTATCTGGAATAACCGAGATCGTTCTGTACCAGCACACCAAGGTCACGTTCCTGAGAGCATGACTGCAAATCGTGCGCTCCAAATTTGTAGATGTAAACGTGTCGATGGCGGATGTGGACAACGCGGCATGCGTCCAAATTGAATGGCAGTGCGCTCCTAACCGAATAATGCCATACCTCAACGAGGTAGCTCAGGAGGATTCCCTGGTCGTCCATTCCGTTGCTTACCCTCGAAGAGTAAAAATTTGTAGTGCTGACTCTCGCTAAAGCCTTAATGAAAACTAAGAACAAGCGAGGCCAAAGTACCGAACCCTGCGGTACGCCGCAATCCACTCGAATCGGGTCGGACAGGGATGTTCGGACTCTAAACTCCAAGTGCCGTTCACGAAGTTACCGGTCCATCCTGATACTGCATCGGAGATGTAGTGGTTCTGAATTATGTGTATCAGGATTCGATGATCCATGCAATCGAAGGCCTCTAAGGGTCCATGTAGACAACATCGGTTCCTGTCTCCTCGTCGACTATTCCGATCCAGTTATCACGTGCTATTAGCAGATTCGTAGTACATGATCGATGTTGACGAAACCCGTGCTGCTCCAGCGCAATGATGCCGTGGATTTCCACCTATCCCATCAGTCTGTCCACGATGATCACTTCCATGACTTTGGTGAGCACAGGAAGAAGCGCTACTGTGCAGTCGGATCAGATTGACTTCTCCCCCTGTGAATAGGGGTTATAATACCCCGTTTCCACGCTGACGGAACCATGTTTCCGTCTAGACAACGCTGAAAGAATCCGGCTAGTGGTTTGGTTAAGTGCATAGCTTCTGCCTCCAATGCTTCAGGGTGAATGTTATCCACTCTATGAGAGCTGTGTATGCTGAAGGATAGAAGCTGTTCAGCACAATTCCTGCTGCGAATGTGACGCTGGCTAAAACTGATGGTGTAGGGACAGCAACAGGAATAGCGGTTCCATGCTTGTACCCCTAGGAAAGTAGGTAAGCACTGCGCTCTTAAGCCCTTGGCCGCCACTTTCGCTGTGCTTTTATACCCGCCAACCGTAGTGAGTGATAGAATTCCGCGTTGCAACTTTTGAATTTTATTCACATGTCTGTACAGAAGCGTGTGGCTCGAAAAGAATCGTTTCGGAAGCTACTGTTGTTGTGATAACTTATCTTTACGGACCAACTGCACATAGTAATTGCGCTGAGCTACGTACGTCGTCTAATTTTCGGATCTGGGATTGCTTTTGTAAACGTACCATGCCTGATCCCTGACGACCATAAATTGTCATGTTCGGTTTCTCAGCAATGATTTTTGAAAACTTTAGGCTCTGATGGGTTTGTGGCTAGTGACGTGAACGTTTTTAAGGTTGTTTCCCAGGCTCTCTGGGGTGCACTCAGTCATGAGTGACCATTTAGCGGTTTTAAACAAATGCGAACAGAATATGAGCATGCGTAACAGGTTACATCCTTTCGGACTGTGTGACGGGGTATTCGGCATAGCAAGTATGTGGTGAACTTTTCCAACATACCGCTTAGTCGCCTCCAAATTGAAGCGCTATCGCTGGGTTGCAGCTTCTCTGTTCCCCCTGGTAAATGTGACCGCATAGGTATTGCAGCGCAGTTTGAACACCAGCAAGAGCAGCTTTCTGGTCTAATTAGTCAAGCGCAGACGCGAGTAGTTGCTTTAAAGCCAAAGCAGTGGACTTAGCTAACCAATTTTGCATCACAGAGGCTGAAAAATCAAATTTTCTCACGAAGGAACATTTTGATTCACTGCAATAGCAAATATAATCGAACAGTAAAGTCACATGATCGCTTCAACCCAAACAGCTACATACATGTAGCCCATCAGCTATGAGCTCTTCGCTGGTGAGCACTAGGTCTAATATTGTGGGCTTATTCGCTGTTCTGAACCAAGTAAGAGCGCTGAGGTAATTGCATAGGGGTGTGCGAGAGATTACCTCTAGTAAATAGGCCTTGAACTGTTCCCCTCGGTTGCTGGAATTTCCAAATCATGAATGTTGAAATCTTCTGTTATGAGGACATAGGTGTATTTATGATTTATCACAATACGAAATGCAGATATTAGTCTGCGGTCCATTATCGGAGTGCATCTGGACAGTCGGTAAACTACGGACATGAGGCATGTATCGTTGTCCTTCAACCACAGTTTGCACAAAAGAAGATCAGAGATACACGTTCGTGAATCATCTATAAGCTCACAAGGAAGATTTGTTTTGTAATAAATAATCACGCCCTCCCCTATCTGTTCTGTCGTTCCAGAAAAGTAACATACCAGGTGGTGCGATCTCAACGTCTGTAATTTCAGAGAGAAGTCACGTTTCGGTGATCATTATGATATCTTGAGGACTGGAAGCCTGACGGTGACGAAGTTTGACCAACTTCCTGGTAAGGCGTTGCGCGTTAGTACACAAGCAGGTCAGTTGCTCAGTGACTAAAAGTGAATCATAGGATGTTGAACAAGAATTGGAGACTGCGCCGACCGTTGGTCACTGGCTACTTTTTGAGGAGTAGTTGGCTTTTTCAGATCAGTTGCGTTATACGACTGCTCTAGGCTCTCTTGGTCTTGATGGTCTCCTGTGTTTTGTTTTATTCCATCGGATGCTAAGGTCGCCGATAAATCAGTCCCTTCACAGAACTGTATGAGGGGAAAATGTACCACTTTGGTCGTTCCCAATGCGTCGTTAGCCATCGGTGGTAGTGTACCCGCTGCTTTTAAGCGAATTTCTGTAGGCAGTCTCTTGCGGACTTTAGACCAGTTTTCCAATATTAGTGGTACCATTAGTTCAGACTAAACCATCACCTTCATCAGCTATGGACAGTTACCCTTCTAAACGGGTGATACCGAAATCTTTGTCAATCGCTTTGCAACGATATTGTCGAGAAAGAGCTCCTGGCGGAGGCTGTTTCATTGCTCTCGGTCGTGTGCTTCCGCTTCCTCAGAGGAGTACGTTTGAAGCTCAGGAACGCCGTAAAAATAACCGTCCGTTTTTCGTTAGATTTGCGAACTACATCATGATTGCTTTTCTTTCTCGGACTTTCGTTCCAAGGGATGTTCAGAAGTATGCGCACTTAATGTGTTGAGTTACGGAGCCGAATGGAAGACAGTAGAACGGCCTCTGTGCCATCAGCGGAAATCAGCATCACCCAGAAATGTCGAAGTTTACCATAATGCACTGAATTTTTATAGCCTAGGACATTTCTCAGTGTCGTGGACTCAACTGAAAAGTCAATTGCACCACAAATGAAATTCCACCAATTATGGTTGTCCATCAACTTCTCCTTTATGATACTAGACTGCGATTCTGGAACCTTCGCGCACACAACAGTCAAAGCACTGTGATTTCTTCTGTTGGCTGCAAGTTTAAGGGTATTAACTGATACCATATAAAGCGGTTTGGTTGTTTGTGAAGGCTGCGTCGCCCTAATGTTGTTTGATGTTGCTATAGGAGTCACAGGTGTTCTCTCCGGCTTTTGCATGGAGAAAACTTATGCACAGGATGCCCGGCATTTTGATATGGTGGACGAACTCAAGTTTGGAGGTGCCATTATCACCATTGGCTCGATGTGGCCTACACTACTGAAAGGAGTGGAAACAGACGTGTCTGAAGCTTGTCCGCTTATGGGAGAAAGCTGATCCAGATGATTTGGAGACGCAGACGTTTCAGTTCGGATGAAGCATCTGGCTCTCTTCTTCGGTATAGAGGCGGAGCTTGTATTGGCTGGTTGAGACGTTAACAAGGCCATATTCACCTCCGTTGGTGCGATCTTAGTATTTACCATAAGCGCTATTGTCGCAGTCAATCTACCGCACTTCTTCTTGAGCACACAAACAGCTGACAACTGGAATAACGATATGCTGGACGAACCCAAAATTCGTAAGCAGCTTTGTTTATCTGACTCACTACTTAGACAGATTATCCTATCCATTGCGGATGGAGCGATATAACGCGGTTAGAACACCTCACTCTAACCTTAAGGACGTTATCACAATTCTCTGAAGAGCCCACGCAGCGTTGTATCAGGTTTAGAATAGTGAGTGTACTTTGCTGGTCACGTGGGCTTGAGAGGGTCATGGTTTAAATTTTATACCGTTCGATTTTCGCGCTTATTTTGAAGTAATTTGCTGATTGGCCTGCCAGCTGCATCAGCCCTTATCGATCGACGATTGCGATGCCCTTGATCATGTGGCGAAGCGGTTAGAAGAGGGTTCTTGGGCACGTGCACCTGCAGGATCAGTTAGCGTGAGCGAAGTTTGGATTTGCAGCGGCTTGATAAATGTGATTCCAGTGACTGCTAAATAGGTTGCAGTCACCGTTCCTGTTGCCGACACCTATCAGCTATAGGTGGACAAAAAGCCCTTGAAGCCTGCTCCCGAACGAGTACAAATTTCTGTGTTTGCACCTAAAGAAGGTGGTGTTTAGCGTTCGTGACTAGGCAAAGCTTCTCCCAGGACTTCGAAAGCGAGGTAAACAGTGATGTAGGGAAATGAAATCTTTGATTCCGGGTCCGTTGTGTAGCGCTAGTGCATCCAACTTGAACTAGTCAAAGTGTAGCAGTACAGGCTGCGAGGGTGCTGCAAAATCCCCTAAACATCAGAGGAATAGAACTGAGCGACTAGCATGCAAGGGCTGGAACCACATTCTGGTTAACACTTCCTAATGCTCGCCTTAAGTTTCGGACATATCCCCTCTCCTATAGGTCCTAACAGCAATTAGTTCGTATGCTTACAGCTAATAGACACCCAAATGACCTTATAGAATGTCGGATCAGTCCAACGTTTTGGAAAGAAAACATGCTGTTCAGTTTAATCAAATCAACAGTTTCCTTTGGGCCTACCTTAAGAGCTTAGCCTTCTGTGAGGATAGGCAAACATTCAAATGAATTCAATTGCATAAATAAAATCCCTAAAGTTACAGAGAAGGAGGTAACACCTGATCCGTATGACTTCTACAGCGTTTGTTTTAATGAAAGTCACTAACGCCTAATCAGGTACTCGTCGAAGTAAGGTCACCGAGGTTACTCAGTTGTGCTTCATTCTTACAAAATATTAATGTCGTGGGGTGCCCGTGTTGGGATGAGCAACACCATAATATGTCCATTTTACCTACGGTCCTTGTGATCGAATGACCGAGGTCCACCTCAAGTGAACCGAGGTCTCAATAGAGGTTGCTTGTAGCAACCCAACCACACAGCGGATCCGCCAAGTCCAACTTTGCATTCGTTTCCGCTGTACCAAGCGTTGCTCGCGGATCTCATTGGCATATTGCTTATGGCGTCAACCGTGAGCCACTAGGCTCTGATTTCCAGCCCAGTTCAGGCTATCTCCACCTGATGAGTCCAAACCAGGACGAAACCGCGGTCGTGGGGTGCCCGTGTTGGGATGAGCAACACCATAATATGTCGTATTAATGTCATTCTTTCATAGGAGGGCTTTAGTCTGCTCTCTACCGTCAAGGTAAAGAAAGACGAGGAAGAAAAACCAAATGTTTCTTATTACTTACACGCATAAAGCTGCTTATTCCTAATGCGCACGGGGACACCAAGCTCTAAAATTGGTAGACTGACTACCGATGAGATGTTGGTTCTCGGCTCGGCAAGAGTAACGCGTGGTTTGCAATTCAACAGTTTATCATGATCCATTTGGCTGTAAGAATGGATTTTCTGCTACTTACCATTGAAAGTCGGACGGAACTTGCGGCTGGTGGACAAGCCCGATCACAATCGAACTGACTGCATTAAGTCAGGAAATTAGGTCGATTAGTGTCCATGCAACGGCTTCCGAATTGCGCAGTGGAGTTATAAATGAAACTAACCGACTACCTGTTTCAGCTAGTTAAAAGTGCTATCTCACGTAGGCTCAAAATGAGGTCGGCGGCCACTCTAGCTTCTCCACGTGGTAGCAATTTGCTTGTTCAACTGACTTCAGCAGCATCGCCACCGGCAATAACACTAGCGGCGGATGAGGGAATATATATCATTATCATGGTCATCTGGATAGTTGGCAATACAGTCGCTGAATGTCGTTGTGATAACTTCGAGTTACACCGTAAGTTATAAGGCCACGTTCCAAGCAGTTAATGACTAAAACCAATGACAAAAGCTTGGCTTCGTGCACTCAGATGGGTAGAGGTCATGTTATTCTGCAAGTGAGAATGGAGGCTCAAATGAACTGAAATTAAAGAAACCTGAGAACTGGCAAATGGCACATTTAGCCCCACCAAAAAGGGTTTCAATAGGATGGTTATGAAACAGAAACTCTCAAAAGACAGCCACGTACCTGTAGTGTGTGCCAGCGCAAGGGTTTGGGGAGTGAAATCTGTAAAAAGCAAGAAGTGGTAAATTTTCATAATGAAAAAATATCCGATATGCTGTTAGTCGCCACACCGTTAATCCAGATATTACACTCGGTTAATGTTCAACGAAATGTGAAAAACCTCACAGCTTCATCCCATTATTGTTTGGGACATTAATCCTCTGTTGGCTACTGGTGCTGATTATGCACAATGCATACATTATTTTATGCCTTCTACTGAACAATGTTCCGTAATGTCTTGTTGGTGAGTACGCAGACGATAATCGCTTACTCCAAGTAAATGTTCGTGCGAAGAGATTTATGGGTTGCGAACAGCCCTGAACCACTCTGCACCGCTTCAGCCTACTTGACCGCATTACGGTTACTACAGATGGGTGATTTATCGACATCCAAACTCAGATGATGTACCCTCAGAGTATCAGCACATCGAAGTGGGTGATACGGGGAGCTTTATCTTACTGGAAAGATTTACGAGTGAGGTGGAGGCACTTATCACTGGGTCTGACTCAACTGAGTTGACTCACTCACGAGCACTTCAAGTGAGCATTAAACGCCTGATATCATACGCTCCAACCAAATAGACGTAATGTATTTTTCATTCAGAAGGATGAACGAAACTCCTTCCTCCAGAAGTCTCTGTTGTAGGTGCCGGTGGTTTCAGCTTGGTGAGTACAGTGTTAAAGTACGTGCACCAATGACGAATGGAAACTTGTACCATTCAAACTATCATGAGGCATTTGCTGTAGAGTGATAACTGCACCTATTATCACGTACAGTACATCAAGTGAACTGGCCGTACCCAACAAATAAAAGGGAGACGAGACTGCATGGCACAGCGTACTAGCGGTACAAAGTATAAGTTCAGACAAGTTGGCCAGGTTCCTTAGTGCCACTCCTTTTTAACAAAGTGTTTTCAATTTACACACGACATTCCCAGGGGAAACGTGTTTGTTTTCCCATTTCTGAAAATTGAGCAGTGATGCACATCCGATCCCAATCCATTCAAATTAGTGAAACTTGTCGATTGACTGATTGACATATAATCTTGTAGAATTGAACAATGGATTTAGCACGAAGACAAAAGCAAACGCTTAACCGTTTTCCGTAGGAAGGAATGAGATCCAAAATGGATGTACCAAAACAAAACAAAAAGTGCGTAGTGATTGTCACCGAAAGTTCCACTTGTAAACATTGTTTGATTACATTGTCCCGGTTAACTTGGGTTAAATCATGTAATGCAGGTAGTGCAATGCAATCATCAAGTCGAGTTTTGAATTCGGACAACGTAAGAGCGAATATGCCGAAATGCGGAAGTAGAGGTTCCACGGGTGGGGTACACTAGATGAGAAAAAATTCCGGCGAATTTCCATCCGGCAAGTCGCAACGCTTATTCTAACGCCTTTCTGGCAGTATTCTGAGTAGACTAGCTTGAGGAAGGCGATCGCTCAAGAGCTTGCTTTGCTCCATCAATCAACGGCCAGACCACACCCATCCTACTATCCAGTTGTTTTGTTTGATTGAAGGAATTCTGGGCAAACATTTCGAAATGTGGATGGTCTTTAATTTAAACTTATGCTGCCAGCTTAGAGGCAGCGATAGGGTTAACGTCCCTAAATTCACTCTTCCATGGAAATATCATGATCCGTACGATGGGGGGACGACATGTAATAGCCGATAAATCTACCCTCGTGATATTAAAAGTAAGCTCCGCCCAGTGATTCCAGCGTCCCTTACAAAATATGCTTAGATGGTTAATGAAGCCAGCACTCGCCTTAGTCACAACTGGAGATGTTATGTAACTAAAAGTATCCGTCCGGTGGGGCCTCGCTCAAAGCCTTTACTTTCCGATAAACTAGTTTGTAAACTGATTTAGTTAACTTCCGTCATTGTCTTTAAATGTAGATATTCAGAATGTGGTGTAAAATTACATTGCGGTAAGAAATAAGCAGGTAAAAGTGGATATTTGCTAGCGGACAGAAGCAAGCCTGGATAGCTGTCTTCATCATTACCACACAGAAGAATAAATTTAAATACAAACATCACAGGAGTTTAGCGACTTTAATAATGAACAAGAACTTGGCATTTGTACTAATAGAACCGAACAAATGTGCCGAATCTCGATCGGTCGGTAGTCCAGGTTTTCGTTCGTGAAAGGACCCGCTCGCGAGGTCGACTTTTGGAACAGATGGACGGCACCAAAGCTTCCACGGTGTCACATAAAGCCAAAATGCAGACTAGCGTTTTCTGGGTTTTTATCTGGCTATATGGTATGGCTGTTTTCCCGAACGGTTTAACAGTATAGAGTAACCCGTGCACTTCTATAAGTAAGCTCTAATCCTCAGTAGCCAATCAACTTATCAATCGGCTCTACAAAGTGGAACGCACGAGCTAGGTGATAAAAGAAAAAACCTACCTTTTACACAGGGATTTGTTGGCGAACGCGTTTGATGAAACCCTTCTCGACAACGGTCACACGTCATTCCAGTCACTCCCTGTTTGCACCGACATTGGCCGTTGCGCCGATCACAGTCGTGTTGAATAATCGACCCAATGGGATGACATCGACAGGCTGCACGGAGCGAATGACGGTGTGTAAGATCGTGACACCTCGTTTGGCTAATCAATAGAACTGACTTCTCTGCCATGCATTCGAACAAACGATAGCATGCAATGAAGGAGCCATAATTGTTTTCGATGTGGTCAGGCAACGTGCATGCATGTCCGTGCTTTTAGAAAACCGCTGGTCCACGACAGTACAATAGCGTGAGTCGCAGCAATTTTAATAAAAGAAATAGACGTGATTCTGATTAACAAGACCATAATAGGTGAAGCAGACATCCACATGATCGCCTGCTTTCCGATACCCGTGAAACCCAGTAAATTATAGGCACATACCTTACTGACATGTGCTCCGATCAGCTACACCAGCGCATATTGCTTGCGCGGAAGGTTCTCGGTTGAAAGAACTAACCTAGTTGCTAGACTACATTTTGAAAAAACGAACACAAAGGAGTGGAATGAGCTAGTCTTCGCCGTTTTCCTGTTGTGAAATGGGATCGATCCCATCAGTGATTAGAACCGCGAAAGGCACGATATCCTCCACTTCAATCATCTACATTCCGAGGCACCTAGACCCACTCGCTTTATTCTTTTCAATAGCTTTCCTTACTCTTTTTGTTGTTCTGATAATGTGATTTACGGGGGATATTTTCCCTTAGCATCAGTAGTTGAGGCATTGACCAAAAGATGAACCAAATGGTACTAACTTGAAAAACATTGTAGTCAAACATACAACGTTCCCTGGAGCTAGATCCGTTGGAGAGAACATTATAAAATTTTTCTGAAAACCTAGCTTCTCTCAGTGGATGTCAAGAAACTTACAAAAAGATAGCTCTTCGAACCTGATAGCATGTTGGCATAACATACATGGGAAACATTTACATCTCCATTAGCACTCCGTTCCTCGAGTGCGGACGACACATTAGAGAAAGCCAATTGCGCACTTGGCTATTGATGCGATTCTGGCCCGCGCGAGAGCGGTGTGGGTGAATGGACGGCCTAAGCTCCAGAAATGATGTCGCACTGACGAGGTATTGTTCGTATTGTTTGAAACATGCGTTTTGTGAGTGGATTGTTAGATAATCCTAATTGTAACTATGGTGCACCCTGAAGTGAACCTCGGTCATTTCGACCACCGAAGCTGTGGCTGAAATCGGTACGTGTTGGGAATTGTACATTCCCAACTCCACGGCTGGTGTCGTACAAATTTGCACTCATCACGGCCCAACTGGGAATAGAAAGTGGAATCTGTATTTACTGAATGAGTTCTATACACCAACACTGCCGAGCAAAGTGGGAAAACCTTGTCAAGGCGATAAGGAGCTAGTTGTTATGTTTGTTGCCGTTGTGCCGGTGGTGTTAATGCTTCAGTTGGTGGCCGCCGGCTCAATTACTTGACTTCCACAGTGTAACAGCATGAAGCCGGTAACGTAGTGCACAGTTTGGAAGCAGTAACAACTAACAGTTATCCTCAATGCGACATTTTAGGGTTTTCGTCGGACTTTCACCAAAAGATGTCACAATGATAGGTAGGTGACAAGAGAATTGTCGAAATTCAGTTACTTCGTTTAATTATTACAGTTCCCATATGCAGTCAGCTTGTTAACGAAAGTGTATATGCAAGTTCGTGTAGGCATGCAAAAAAAGACTAGGAAAATCATGACGTAATTAATACTACATTTGCTAGTGACAGTTCCCCAAAGAGTTTTGAAAACTTCATGAAATAGTTGAATTCAGATTATCCTACCGATATTCTACTCAATCACTCAACTTTTTCCGTCCATGAATTTTTCGAAATGTGTAGAATATTTTTACTAGAGATTCCATCCTTTTCATGTACATACTAATTCACTGGAGAGCAAATATTTTTTAGGCCAGAACTTGAGTTCCAGACACTGGTGCGAAGAGATTCGGGTCAAATGTCAACGGTTTATCTGCTCGATAAGCAGACGTGTTAGCGCAACCCAAGTGGCACTAGAGAAACACGTGTGCTGGCCGTCAACCCTTTCCTCCGGTGGTGTGCACAGTAATATCACCTATGCAAATGGCGGCTATTCACTCTGGTGAGCCTTCAAGAAATGCACAATTTGCCATCTTTAAGTGTCTGACCTCCACGCGAAGGCGTCGGTAGCAGACATTCATTTGGGATGGTGGGGAGGGAATAGCATACAGTCTGACTCACGTATGCATGCGTGTTCATGACTGATTGGCTTGGTCCAGTCGCGGTAATAACCTTCGGCGCAATGTTGACAATTTCTCCCGGCCGTGTTGTGTTGACAGTTCTCGCACACCCCGCCACTGACACGGTTCGATGTGAGATACAACGCATTGGAGAATCGGCACTCGCTTGAATGAAGATTGCAGTCACATGCTGACGGAACAAAGCAAAATTAAGGGGATAGATGCTGTCAGTTAAATAACGCGCATGTCTAACGGTGGGTGTGCAGGCTTTTTCAGAAAGTATATTTCTTCTGCAGTGCGGGTCTGGCCCCATTCAGCATCACGTTGTAACACTGGTAGACATATTGTGGTAACGAAACGCAAGAAGCAATTGTGCATCCTAGATGGTTTAAACAGGCGACAGTCGTTGATGTCATTCATGTGAACAAACAAATGGGTACATGGCTCTAGCGATCTCATTCGCAGGCAAGCTGATTATTGAATGATTATAACAAGTGAACCTAATTTTATACTTTTTGCATTTTAAATCCGCTGTCGCCGTCCGACTAGGATGACTGGGCTTCATAGCAAAAATGATGGAAAAACCTGGTTCGGGATGTTCGTTTCCCTTTTCCTTGACTGAATCTTGAAAGTGGTGACTCAGCCATGCTGGGCAAAAATAGGTCGTAAACGTTGTCGGAGAATTGAGGAACAACTACGCTACATAGTGCGCATCATTTGTAAACAGACACGTACGGTGCGCCGCAGACAATGAGGTCTTAGTCAAATAACAGCATAGGCTTACCATTGCAGCCCTGTAAGAAGATATCACGAGCACGGACAGCGACCCAAGTAAGACCACATGTAAGTAATGGAAATCGTCTCTGATGTTAGTAAACGCAAGGACGGATTTGTTAATTGTCAAGTCAAGTCATAGTCAAAATAAGCTTTATGTGTCCAGGTGGGTATTTTTCAACCCTTTACAAAATCGACTACGGATCAGCTCAAATTACATTATCAGAACTTTACATTTGGATGAATGGAAAAAGGACACTGTGTACAGGTGTCAGTTGAGTAAACGGTTAGTATAAAGAAGCAAACAAATAAACCTTTCCGGATACCATAATCTAAAGCTGCATTCTGTTGGGAAGCCAGCGTAGCAAGTTAGATTTTCAATCGAGGCAGTCCATCTTCAAGTGCGCAGTATCTTGAGTCTTTCACAAAAAGTACCCGAAGGACAGCAGTGTCGAAGTTGGAAATAATTTAACAAATGTTGTTACCGAAGTATTCCGCGAAAACGGATTTATCCATAACAATATTGTAAAATCGATGTTTTGGGAAAATGGCACGGCCAATCTAAAGGCCCCATCTTTATGGTGTGCTATCAACGGTTCATGTTGCATGGGGTGTCTCCTCGAGTGGATACCTGTGAATATACTGATGTCAATTGCCTGATTCAGGACATTTAGCAGAAGCAGCGACTGGTAGACCAAGCGGCAGAAAAATGGGATATTGCAGGGCTTTTGTTGACGAGATTCCAGCAAACTTCCACTAGTTAATTATTATTACTTCTGTCTGCCCCGTTGTTCCTCTTCGTAATATTCGCAATGTTCCTATACAATATGGGTTGCGCTAGTTTGCCATTACGCCATTTCCGAATAGCAGGTTTAGCAACATTGACCCATCCACGCTTCAAAAGACATTCGATTAATCCAGGAAGAGAAGCCGTACGGATTTATATTTTTGATACGAAAATGGATTGTTGGTCGATATGAAAATGGATTTGATTTTAAAATCCCTGAATATTTCGATTGAAGGCACTGCAATAGACGGCAACATTGCTGACGATCCATCCACTGTGGTCTGTCGCTCGGTCATGAAGTCGCACATCCTACGGGCCAATCCAGGTAGCACTGCCGGATATTCTCATGAGCCGATCAAAGTTAAGCAAAATAGGGTGCAGAAATACCAAAAGCTCTCTGCTAAACAGAGAGAATTAGTTGTCACGGCATCGAAAAAGATGCCGTCTTTGACAGTCGTAAAGTCGTCTGACGATTGTGTACAGGAGAACCTTCCGAAGATGCTGACAGTCTCGGCCACCACTGAATCAGCCTGTTCTGACGAAGTGCTGGTAACTGCTCAATGCGATACAAGGTCAATGGCCCCTGCTCCAGTGAACCAAAAGGAGAAGCGGAGTAGATCTGCTCGTAAAACTTCAAAGGGGGTTGAAGACCCAAGAACTAGTAAGACGCCGGCAATAGAGCGGAAAACCTTCGCTACCGTTGCTTCGACGTCCTATGTGAAGACAGGGACAGTCCAACCGCCAGTGGTGAAAACAGCTGGTATAGGTGTCGAATCCAAGGCACGTGGGGTAAACACTCCCCGTCATGCCGACTCTTGCACGGATCGTAGCGTTATATTCCGAAACGTTACTGAATCTGCGGCTGCTCTCCCAAGGGAACGCATCTTGGATGACATCAAGTGCCTGAAACTGTGTATCAGCAAGCTGCTTCCACCTGGCTTCCCTGGAGTCACTGTCAGAAAGCTGACCAGATTGGGGAACGTCCCTATCGCTACGCCAAATCCGCGACCCCGACTACTTCGCGTGGTTCTTTCTACCCCGGAGGAACGTAAATCATTACTGCGGTTTGCATTCAAACTTAAGGGTAGTGGTGTCAGCGTTCAGCCGGACCTACCACTGGCAGATAGGTTGAAGTTAAAGGAGGCTATCAAAGACCTCAAAACTAGACGGGCGGCTGGTGAGCAAGGCCTCCGTCTGGTGGGTTTTCAGATGGTCAGCCGGAAGTTATTTTCCGCCCTATCAGAACCCATCTTGATGGCGCACGACCCAGGGATGGTCGTGCCGACTTCCTTGAGGTAGTACTTAGCAACGTGCGTAGCCTAAGGAACAAGGTGCACGAGTTGGGTCTACTTGTAGACAAACCTCGTCCCGACATACTTGCTTTCGCTGAAACCTGGTTGTCTCCCGATATCACGGACGGTGAGGTATGTTTACCTGGCTACGCGCTGCTTAGAACTGATCGCTCCGTTAGTCGTCATGGCGGAGGCGTTGTACTGTATGTGACCAGTAACAGACGTATTAAGGACCTGCACATTCCAGTCGTCGGATCAGACTGTTGAAGCCATATCGGCTGTTTCGTGCACTTCTTTCCAGTTCACAGTTATAGTGGTATACAGAAGTCCTGGAATTTCTTCCCGGTGGGATACTTGACTTTATTCGCACTCAGTCTGCGAATAAGTGTTTAGTTCTAGGGGATTTCAACCTCCCGGAAGTCTGTTGGGCCGATCTTTCTTGCAATTCGTCATCAGGAACATTCGGTGCCGACTTTTTTGAACTGACTCTCCAAGTGCCTTTGCACCATTTCGTGGACTTTTCCACTAGATATATGGACAGCCAAATACCATCTACTTTAGATTTGCTTTTCGTCAAGTCCCTCGACTTCGTGACTGACTTTTCATACGGTACACCTCTAGGGACCAGCGATCATGCATGCATATGCTTTTGATGTGCTCTTTCAAGGCACCAAGAGACCACTGTTAAATTACTTCCGAATATTTGGCGGGCGGACTTTAGTGCAATGCGAGCTAAGGCTTCAGTTCTGAACTGTGAGATATCGATGGCTAACTCTGTCCAGTTAGCCTGGGATAAATTTAAAGCATACCTTACGGAGGTTTCCACGCCCTATATTCCACTCATGAGGAAAAGTGGGTTAAGAGCACAGCCTCCATGGATAGATACCACAGGCAAATACCTACTCAAGAAACGGTCTAGATGCTGGCGAACATACCAAGCAGCTCCATCAGCCAGTACCTATGATAGTTATCGAGAGATTAGAAATAAACGTAAGCAACATCTCAGAACTGTTTGTCTCCAGTACGAGCAGGGTTTAGCGGACTGGGCCGCAGCTAATCCCAAGAAGTTTCCCGCTTACATTAAAAGACGCGGCGGGACAAAACTGTCTATACCAGCGTTATTGCGAGCAGACGAGACCCGTGCACCAAATGACTATGACAAGGCTTGTATACTGGGGTCTTTGCTCGGGAGACATCTTTACCACAGGTTGAATTGATTTCAAGAGTTCCAGAGGATTCTTGGTTAGCTGAGTTTAACATAACGGAGACTCAAGTCTTCGTGCTACTGCAAGGCATTAATTCCTCTAAAGCTTCCGGTCTTGCTTTAATTCCCCCGAAGCTGTTGCATGAATTGGCCACTGAGCTAACTGGTCCTCTCACATGCGTCTTTTCAATCTCGTTTGACAGCCGCGTCCTACCTTCAGAATGCAAGGAGGCAATCATCTGTCTGCTTTTTTAAGGGCGGTGACAGCGCTCTACCCGCGAACTACCGGCCTGTCAGTTTGACAAGCGTAATAGTCAAGTTGTTTGAAAAGCTGATAAGGGATTCAGTGGAGAACCACCTGAATAGATTCAACCTTCTCAGTGTTGCGCAACATGGATTCCGCAAGGGATTTTCAAGTCAGACTAATCTGCTTGCAGCTAGTGAAAGCTGGGTCGAAGCGGTAGACAGTGGCCACGCTGTAGACGCGTTATTCGTGGACTTTTCGAAAGCTTTTGACACTGTTCCACATCTTCGGCTCTCACTAAAGTTGAGATCTTACGGGATATCTAGTCGCGCCCTTCAATGGGTGTCTGCCTTCCTTGAGGGGAGGGAACAGTGCGTAAGGGTGGGGCGTAGCCTTTCGCTCAGGCAAGCTGTCCTTAGTGACGTCCCGCAGGGCTCGGCATTGGGACCATTGTTGTTCGCGATCTATGTAAATGACTTGTCGTGAGAGCTAGGGGTGTCATCTTTATCATCATCATGTTTGCTGACGACCTTAAGCTCTGGAATATTGTGGATATCCCGGGGGGTCCTGAGGCAATTCAGCAGGCTCTGGGAATGGTCTACCTTATGGTTGATGCCCATAAATAGGGCCAAGTACTCTGTTCTCCGAATCGGAGCTGCTAATCTTTCCACGCGATATGTTGTCGGCGGTGGTGAACTCCTTGTTGTCACTCAGCAGGTTGATTTAGGAGTCGTACACGCAACAGCACTTCATTCTGGAGACAATTGGAAGAAGGCTGCTTGTCGAGGGTTTCGTATGATGTGGTTTATCCGCCGCTCTTTCGGAATCCTAACGGCCAATTTGTTTGAGAAGCTATTTTCGACATTCGTCCGACCCCACATGGAATATT